ATTTTTGCATCAATGCTCATCATAGATATTGGCCTGAAATTTTTTTTTTTAGTTTTGTCTCTGCCACGTTTTGGTATCAGGATGATGTTGGTCTCATAAAATGAGTGAGGGAGTATTCCCTCTCTTTCTATTGTTTGGTGGAGTTACAAAAGGAATGGTACCAGCTCCTCTTTGTATGTCTGGTAGAATTCAGCTGTGACCTGGATGATTTTTGGTTGGTAGGCTATTAATTGCTGCCTCAACTTCAGACCTTGTTATTGGTCTATTCAGGGATTAAACTTCTTCCTGCTCTAGTCTTGGAAGGGCCTAAGTGTCCAGAAATTTATCCATTTCTTCTAGATTTACTGGTTATGTAGAGTTTTTGTAGTAATCTCTGATGGTAGTTTGTATTTCTGTGGAATTTGTGGTGATATCACCTTTATCACGTTTTATGGCATCTATTAGATTCTTCTTTCTTTTCTTTATTATTAGTCTGGCTAGCCATCTATCTATTTTGTTGATCCTATAAAAAATTAGCTCCTTGATTTAATTATTTTTAAAGTGTTTTTTTGTGTCTCTATCTCCTTCAGTTTTGCTCTGATCTTAGTTATTTCTTGTTTTCTGTTAGCTTTTGAATTTGTTTGATCCTGCTCTTCTAGTTCTTTTAATTTGGACCATACAGTGTCAATTTTAGATCTTTCCTCGCTTCTCATGTGGGCATTTAGGGCTGTAAATTTCCTCTAGACACTGCTTTAAATGTTTCCCAGAGATTCTGGTATATGATGTCTTCATTCTCATTGGTTTTGAAGAACATCTTTATTTCTGCCTTCATTTTATTATTTTTCCAGTAGTCATTAAGGAGCCAGTTGTTCAGTTTCCATGTAGTCATGTGGTTTGAGTGAGTTTCTTAATTCTGCATTCTAATTTGATTGTGCTGTGGTCTGAGAGACCGGTTGTTATGATTTCCATTATTTTGCATTTGCTGAGGAGTAATTTATGGTCAATTATAGAGTAATTATATGGTCTAATTATATGGTCAATTATAGAGTAAGTGTGATGTGGTGGTGAGAAGAATGTGTATTCTGTGGCTTTTAAGTGGAGATTTCTGTAGATGTCTATTAGGTCTGCTTGGTCCAGATCTGAGTTCTAGTCCTGGATATTCTTGTTAATGTTTTGACTCATTGATTTGTCTAATATTGAAAGTAGAGAGTTAAAGTCTCTCACTATTATTGTGTAGGAGTCTAAGTCTCTCTGTAGGTAGTTAAGAACTTGCTTTATGTATCTGGGTGCTCCTGTATTGGGTACATATATATTTAGGGCAGTTAGCTCTTCTTGCTGCATTGGTCGCTGTACCATTGTATAGTACCCTTCTTTGTCTCTTTTGATATTTGTTGGTTTAAAGTCCATTTTATCAGAGACTACGATTGCAACCCCTGCTTTTTTTGCTCTCTGTTTGCTTGATAAATCTTCTTCCATCTCTTTATTTTAGTCTATGTGTGTCTTTGCACGCGAGATCGGTCTCCTAAATACAGTACACTGATGGGTCTTGACTTCTTATCCAATTTGCCAGTCTGTTGCTTTTGATTGGGGCATTTAGTCCATTTACATTTAAGGTTAATATTGTTATGTATGGATTAGATCCTGACATTTTTATACTAGTTGGTTGTTTTGCCTGTTAGTTGGTGCAGTTATTTCATTGTGTCAATGGTCTTTACCGTTTGGTAGGTTTTTGCAACGGTTGGTACTGGTTGTTCCTTTCCATGTTTAGTGCTTCCTTCTGGAGCTCTTGTAAGGCAGGCCTGGTGGTGATGAAATATCTCAGCAATTGCTTGTCTGGAAAGGATTTTCTTTCTCCTTCACTTATGAAGTTTAGTTTGGCTGGATATGAAATTCTTGGTTGAAAACTATTTTCTTTAAGAATGTTGAATATTGGCCCCCATTCTCTTCTGTCTTGCAGGATTTCTGCAGAGACATCTGCTGTTAGTTTGATGGGCTTCCCTTTGTGGGTAACCTGACCTTTCTCTCTAGTTGCCCTTAACATTTTTTCCTTAATTTCAACTTTGGTGAACCTGAAGATTTGTGTCTTGGGGTTGCTCTTCTCGAGGAGTATCTTTGTGGTATTCTCTGTATTTACTGAATTTGAATATTGTCCTATCTTGCTAGGTTGGGGGAGTTCTCCTGGATATTATCCTGAAGTATGTTTTCCAACTTGGTTTCATCTCCCCATCACTTTCAGGTACACCAGTCAAACATAGGTTTGATCTTTTCACATAGTCCCATATTTCTCTGAGGCTTGTTCATTCCTTTTAATTCTTTTTTCTCTAATATTGTCTTCCTGCTTTATTTCATTAAGTTGATCTTCAATTTCTGATATCCTTTCTTCTCTTGATCAATTCAGCTATTGATACTTGTGTATGTTTCTCAAAGTTCCTGTGCTATATTTTTTCTCTAAACTGCTAACTATATTCTAGTTAGCAATTCCCATAACCTTTTATCAAGGTTCTTAGCTTCCTTGAATTTGGTTAGAACATGTTTGTTTAGCTCAGAGGAGTTTGTTATTACCCACTTTCTGAAGCCCACTTCTGTCAATTCATCAAACTCATTCTTTATTCAATTTTGTTCCTTTGCTAGTGAGGAGTTATGATCCTTTGGAGGAGAAGAGGCATTCTGGCTTTTGGGATTTTCAGACTTTGGTCTGGTTTTTCCTATTCTTTATGGATTTATCTACCTTTGGTCTTTGATGTTGGTGACCTTCGGATGGAGTTTTTGCATGGGCATCCTTTTTGCTGATGTTGATGCTGTTGCTTTCTGTTTGATAGTTTTCCTTCTAAGAGTCAGGCTCCTTCTGCAGGTCTGCTGGAGTTTGCTAGAGGCACACTCCAGACACTGTTTGCCTGGGTATTACCAGAAGAGGCTGCAGAAAAGCAAAGTTTGCTGCCTGCTCCTTCCTCTGGAAGTTTGTCCTAGAGGGGCACCCACCAGGTGCCAGCTGGAGCTCTCATGTATGAGATGTTTGTCGACCCCTGCTGGGTAGCATTTCCCAGTCAGGGGGAATGGGGATCAGGGACCCACTTGTGGAGGCAATCTGTCCCTTAGCAGAGCTTGAGTGCTGTGCTGGGAGATCTGCTGCTCCCTTCAGAGCTGGCAAGCAGGAAGGTTAAGTCTGCCGAAGCAGTGTCCACAGCTGCCCCTCCCCCCAGGTGCTCTGTTCCAGGGATATGGGAGTTTTATCTATAAGCCCCTGACTGGGGCTGCTGCCTTTCTTTCAGATATGCCCTGACTAGAGAGGAGGAATCCAGAGATGCAGTCTGGTTACAGCAACTTTGTCACACTGCAGTTGGTTCTGTTTCACGTATTTTGAGACATCTTCTTGAGGGTTAACTACTTTATTATTATAAAATGTTCCTTTTCTTCTCAAGTAACATTTTTTGCTTTAAAGTAAAATATGTCTGATATTAGTATCATTGCAGACAAAGTCAGTCCCCCCAGAAATGGAGTCTTTCCTTAATCGGTGTCACAAAGCCAATACATGAAACCAAAAGTGAGTGTCAAGCACTGCAAACTTTATTCGATGGCCATGGAATTGAGAAGACCGATCATGACTCACAAATCAACTTCTCCACTAGTGAGGGGTGAAGGGTTAAAATATAGTATTTCTCTAATGAAAGGACTGAACATTAAAAACAAAGGGAAGAACATTCATGTCTTTTCTGAATATAGTTTGTGAACTTCCTGGAACCAGAGTATGCCTTCCTTTTTGTCCTTTTATTGCTTCTTCTGGATGTTGTCATGGTGATTGTCAGCGGAAGTGTCATTTAGCATGAAAATGAGACTATAATCAACCAGATGTCTTTTGAGGTCCTTTGGTGGCAATCTTGATTCTAACTAGTCTCAGCTGATCTAGTTACAAAGGAAACATTTTACTGCAGGCATACTGTTTCTTAAAGATAAGCAAAGTTGGGACGGGATTGAAATTCAGCAATGTCACATAGGCATTATACTGGGTAACAGTACAGAAACCAGTATTCTTATGGTTTCCGTTTGCAAGATATATCTATTTCCATTCTTTTACTTCCAAGCTATTTGTGTCTTAATCAAACTCATGTCTCTTATACATAGCATATAGTTGAATCTTGTTTTCATTGTTGTTATTTTAATCCAGGCTGACAATTTGTTTCCTTTGTTACCCCAGTATATATGTGATTACAGCATCCACTCAATAGAGTCAGTTCTTCTTTTCCTTTCTGTCTTTCTCAACCCAAATGTACTGAACTGATCATTTCGTATCTTTTCCTCCATTCTTATGTTGCAGCCCCAAAGAGCAAGCGAGCATTTAATACTATTTATACTATTCTCACATTTAATACTATTCAAATAGTATTATATCACATTTAATACTATTATTGATACAATTGATGTTATGAGATGAATTGTGTCCCTCAAGAATTAATTTGTGAAAGGCCTAAGGGCAATATTTCAGAATTTGACTTTATTGGGAGTTAAGACATTTAAAGAGAAAAGTATGCCTGTATATTTAATTTACATAATTTATCAGTGAGTTATTCATTCATCCAAGAAGTAGGATTTAATGAACTTTGCTTTCTGGCCTCTAAAAACGTACCACCAATGCACTCAGCACTGTAGACCTAATAATTCTCCTTGAATTATCACTTTAGTCATGACTTCAAATTGCATAACCGAGAACAGATGTATCCCCCTCAGACCCCAACTATGTGAATTCCTCTAGAATATCAAATACTATAGTCAGTTTGGATCAACAATTTAATTATTTGTGTAACTCACTAGGTTCATGTAACATGCATTGTGGATGAAATCTTAATCTTTATCTCGTCATAGCAAGGCCACCACATGTTCATAAGTCCGACATACATAAAATGTGAGTGGGGTTTTAAAAAGTGGATGGTCCAGGGCAAGCTCTGGAGTGTGACAATCATTCCCGCCCCCCACCCACCCAGCCATGGGCTGTAGAAAGAGCAAATGCAGAAGACAGAACAATGGAGAAAAATATGTTTGCTTTTATTGTTCAGGGCTCTAGAGACTGGGACAGGTGAAGGCACTGAAGATCAGAGATGCAAACTCATTGAGGAGGAGATAGCCTGAACAGAGTTGGAGAAAGAGTCTTGTTTATTTTTGACACCATAGTAATTGCAGGACCACCAGTTCTAGACGTCCATTTTTTAGATGTCTCTAGTTTTTGAATTTGCAAACAAAGGAGAACTTCTTCTCACAAGATTCATCCTTCCATTTCTTGAATCCTACAGTACAATTAGAAGAGTCAGAATGAGAAGATCAGAAGGAGGGTAGCCCCTCTTCGACCTAGGACTCAGAACAAGAAACAAGAGGAAACATTCCCTTATTTTCTGGATGGAAATAAATTTTTCCTCTATCCCAGTCCCCATGTTCAACTGCAGAGATAAGTGGGAGGGAAATGGCAACAAGGGGATAGACTCTCTGCCTCTTACCTGAACGTGAAGTCAGGCTTGCACAGTAGCCAGCATTAGCGCTGCTTGGGGCTCCAGTTTCCCAGGATTTGTAAGAGACCAGGGACCCACTGCTCCAGTGCCAGCGGCGGTTCTAGATTGAGAAGGGCCAGAAAAGGGACCATGGTCACTGGAAAATCAATAGAACAACCAGGCCTCTCTGCACACTCAGAAACAGGCCAAAGTACAGGGGAAAGAATGAACATTATTATCACTATGAATATCATATTATTTCATTTGCTTTTGCTTTAAGTTTCTCTTTCTCTGGAATGTCCAAATTCCTCCTCCTCTTCCAGCAAACAATAAGTGTCCAGAGTTTGATACACAGACTCATAAAAGTCCCAGAGAGTAGTTCCTGATTTTTCCCCGAAGCTCAGAACTGTCATATCCAGCATAAAATTGGCTGTACAGTAGCTGTTGATATATTATTTACTTTAACAGTATAGTTCCAAATGTCAGCAATAGATTCTCTTCCACTACTCTTTCTCTGTGGTAGTTTACAGAGGGATCTCTTCCAAGACAGACAATAGCAAAGTAGGGAAGAAGTTGTACATAAAGATGCATTTCTAGAAGTAGACAGAGTGAGTTTGTGCATGAATTCCCATGAGCCCAGAAAGTTCAACTTTCAACTCATGTCTCTAACTATCTACACTGAACCTCACAACTCATACATTATAGGAGCTATAAAGACGTTCCTTTTCTTAAAACAAACAAACAAAATAGATACAAGTTGGCGCTCGTGGTGCCAGACCTTAAATATCCCTCTTACCTCTCAAAAATGTTTATAAGGAGACAGAGGAGACTGCAGACTGACCTTTTTGGGGTCATGAAGGCCAATCCAGACACTGTTGTCATCAGTGCTACTCTCCTTAATCAGTGAGGCCACGAAGGCACCTTCCGCCTGGGTGAGCACAGACACCAGGTTGCCTGAATGCATGTTCTGGCAGTAGAGCTGGAGAAGAAAATGTAGCACTCAGTGGAGGAGGAAGGTATGAAGGATGTACTGAGACCTCCCAGAGGTTGTAACAGAAAAGGACATCACAGAAACGTCCCTGATGATGCTGTCACTGACCACCAGCATCTCTGTGCTGGAAATGTGTCAAATGATGGGCTAAAGTAGATTGGGGAAGTTTTGGACCAGTGGTGGAATAGGGAAGGGATCAGTCTTATCTCATTGCAGCCACTGAACGCACTGTAAACTAGCAGCTGCCTCTACCTTCATGAGCCTCCCTTCCCACACTGCTCTCCTCACTCACATCTGCATCGACCCAGGTCTCAAGGTCTTCATTAAAGTAGTAGCAGTAGGATCCATAGGCATTGGTGCCTTCTGGGCAGCTGATTCGGGCTTTAGGCAGCTCTGTCTGGGCCTCCTGGCCTGCGGGGGGAAAAAGTGTCAATTAAAGACTCTCAGCGCAAGGAAAGGCTGAAAGGTGAATTAAGAGCTTCTGAAGTTCATTTATAAGAATATACTGATACAGTGTATCCTGGGGTGACTGCTCACTTCTGCCCTCCTGCATCTTATCTCTTTTCGCTCTAGTTACCTTTGCTCAAGAGAAGAGCACACAATAAATAGGTTAAATAAATATTTCCTTGTTTTCTTTTTTATTTCTGAGGCTCAGGCTTCTGCCTTTAAAGAATCAGGCTTTCACCTCTCTCAAGTTTCTCTTGGTTTCCCTGCATGCAATATTTACCTTAGCTCTCCATCCTATCAATATCTACATAAAAACATCCCCCAAACTGCCATCACATATATATTCAATCAGATGAACTCAACCACAAGGGTCACCTGTAAGTGATCCTATCAAATTCTGTCTCAGACACATGAATGAAATGAGGATGTTTTTGAATGGGATGAGATCAGCGATAACGATCACTGGACAACAGAAACAACCCCTGATGCTGACACTGCTATTTTTCAAGTGAACCCATATGCATGAGGATGGAAGGCAGACTTCAGGGCTGGTATGAGAGGTGTGAGGGAAAATCTCACCTTGGCTCAGAGACAGGATCATCAGGCAGGAGATCAGCATGAAGCATGTGTTGGTCTGAGCCATGCTGAGCAGCAGTGAGTCTCTTGCTTAAGGACCAAATCAGCAATCTCTATAGGAGAACACAGGGAAGAGAGTTTGAAGAAGAAAGCAGAGCACCTATTATCTTTCTAACACCCTCTCCTCTCTGAATTCCTGAGAGTAGGAAGGTCCTCTGAGATAGCTACAGTCACAGTTATTTCTCTTTTGGTTTGGGGATTATACAGGCCAAATTACCCAAGATCAGCTTTGGGTAATTTGCTTAAGCTTCATTACTACTGGGATACAGAAAATCACCCTGTATCTACCTCAAAATGGAAACAGAAAAACCCATATTACACGTGCCCTTCTCTAATGACCGCTTACCTATTGGTAAGTGTCTTGTCTACTTGAGGTGGCTTGTCAGGCCAGGCAGTGTAGGAGCTTTATATCAGGATCTGAGAGAGAACCCCGTGATATTAACTATGGGCGGAGCAAGGAGTAAGGGTCAGAAGGCCTACAGAGGGCACTTTTGGTAAGAGATTCTGGCATCAGGAATAGCTTATTTCTGGCATACACTAGGAGTAGTCACAAGTGACATCAACTTACCATAAAGAGGTTGGCAAACTGTCCAGGTTGATGTCAGGCTTTGTTTGCCCTTCCTCCATAGCATCCAGGTGTCCAGTTCCCATGGCCTTTAGTAGTCCTAGAAAGAACAGAAGAGTAGATTTCTTTGTGCTGTATAAATATGGGATCCTTTTTTTTTTTTTTTTTTTGGTTTTAGACATGGGTAAGGATAGGGGAAGAGTCAACCAAGTCCAAATGATTAAGCCCAATTAGCTGGTGGCTTTAAGTCATTTCTCCATTCATTTTCAGGCTCAGGAATCTCTCAAGACCTCCTTCAGAAGATAAGGTATATTAGTCCATTTTCACACTGCTATAAAGATACTACCAGAGACTGGGTAACTCAAAAAGAAAAGAGGTTTAATTGACTCACAGATTTTGCTGAGGTTTGGGAGGCCTCAGGAGACTTATAATCATCGATGTGAAAGGGAAGTAAAGCAGGTCTTACATGGCAGCAGATGAGCAAGAGAGAGTGAATGGGGAAAAGCCCCTTATAAAACTATCAGATCTTGTGAGAACACACTCACTAGCATGAGAACAGCATGGGGGAAACTACCTCCATGATCCAATAGCCTCTCACTAGGTTCCTTCCTCCACACATGGGGATTATAAGGATTATAATTTGAAATGAGATTTGGGTGGGGACACAGAACCACACCATATTACAATGGTTAGTAGTTACATAAATTTAAACCAGCATTTCCAGCAAGGTTTGAGCATGACTAACTAGCATGATACCAATGTTCTCAAAGTCCAAGCAGGTGGGAACTGCAGGGAGCTGATACCTAAGTAAGTTCAAAGCAGTGGAATATAAAGTTGTTGCTTTAAAGTCAACTCTCTGTTGTTGTGAAGTTACAGCAGGTGATGTAGAATTAAATGCTTACCGAAATTCCCATTAAATATCCATTCAGATTCAGGGAATAAGAGCAAATCTGGAATTAAAAATTCAGTTGAAAAACTAACCAAAATGTTCACAGAAACAGAGATGGTTATATCAATTGGGATAAATGGCTAAATAACATATTTTGAAATACTAACAACAGTTAAATTAAATAAGCTTAAACATGAACTCATTTCCAAAGCATAGTGTTGAATTTACAAAGTCAATTGCAAAACTTTACAAACTAAAAATATTAAATATGCTTTTTAAAAGGCTAATTATTTATATTGATAATCTATTCACATGTAGTTTCAAGTAAAATAAATCCATAATAAAATGCTATACAAAAAAGTTTCATACTGTTTTTCTGGAGATTATATAATTTTTTTCTTTAAAATAATCATTTTAAACATAGATGACAGAGGTCAATATTGTTTAATCTAATAGGTTCAAAAGTGTTCATCAAATTATGACAATTTATTTCAGCATTTTCTAAAAATAATGTTTTCTTAAAAGCTTATAACCAGAGAAAGATGTGAGATTTTTTTTCCATAAATAAGAATTTCAATCATATTATGCAGAGTTACAAAGGGATGAAGAAGAGAGAAGTCTAGTATGCTTGTTACCACAAGTATATCTTGCCAAAATGAAATAAACAATTATTATTATTATCATTATTTTTGAAATAGGATCTGTCTTTGTCACTGAGGCTAGAGTGCAGTTGCTCAGTAATGGCTCACTTCAGTCTTGAGTCCCTGGGCTCAAGCATTCTCCCATTTCAGCCTCCTGAGTAGCTGGGAGTGTAGGCTCACACCTCCATGCCAGGCTGATTTTTGTATTTGCAGTAGAGACATGGTTTTACTATGTTGCCCAGGCTGGTCTCAAATTTCTGGGTTCAAGCAATCTGCCTGCCTCAGCCTCCCAAAGTGTTGGGATTACAGGGAGGAGCCACTCTGTTGGGCCGATATTTTAAAGTAACACAAAAAAATTATTTGCTGTATTTTTTAAATGAGAGTTTTTCTTTGCATCAAGAAGACTTCAAATAGACAATGACTTTTCAGGTACAAAAGATCAAATACATAATAAAACACATTGTGGCTAACCTGACATAAAAGCCTTTTAAAACAAATAATTGACACAACTCTCTCATAAAATGTTTATTGCTCCCAATAGCTATTTGCCCATTTAGGTAACTAACCCTTATTGTTCACATATGTGACTGTCCAAATTCCACACACAGGTAGTAAAATTGAGGACATTTACTGGCAACCACTTTGGTTCCAAAGTGACCTTTGACAAGGAAGCCATATTTATCTCCTTGTCCTCAGGATTCTGGAGGTCCTGTCCTCTGAACTAGTTTTACAAGGTTCTAAAAAGCTCATTTTAGCCCTTTCCTATCTATTTCCTCTGTTACTCTTCACAGAGGTAGAAAGGGGTAAACTGGACATCTAGTGTTAGTATGTCCCCAAGTGGGGGCAATTTCTTGATAAGCCTCAATAAGGCTTAGAAAGTTTCAAAACTGACTTATTTTTGATGCTATTGGCCATCTGCTGCCAACTGTTTCCTGTTTTCTACCTTTTAACAGATTTTTCTTACAGAGAGAGAGTCTCTCTCTTGTTTAAATCTCTTGGCAGGCATGTGAAGACTTTAGCCTGTCTGCAGACTTTAGCCTGGAAAGGAAAGGAGCTGAAGAAGTACCTAATGCAGCAAGAACTTTCCATGTTCTGCTGTGTCATGCAGATGTAAAGAAACCTCCTTACAAATTAGCCTCTTCTGCTTCACAGGAAAGCTTCAGTCTATTTAACAGGAACTATCATCGTGTGCTCTTTACGGCAGGCACTATTCAAACTATCTAGCTCTCTGAGGCCTAATTTCAATATATAACCACCTATTGATCATGGTCATGGCCAGAGGCCCCATAAGAAGAGGTCAAAAAAGAATACAATTTAATATATTAAGCACCCAGTCCTTGCTATACAAGTTAAATTTTCCTTTACACATGCTATCATCATAGCCGTGTGTGTGTGTGTGTGTGTGTGTGTGTGTGTGTGTGTGTGTGTGTTTAAAGAAATGGGAGTTGTTCTTTAGAGCCTTCATGGCCTAATTGCCACTTAAAGGTCTCATCTCTTAACATTGTTACAGTGAGAATTAAATTTCAACATGAAATTTAATTTTGAAGGGACAAACATTCAAATTATAGCATCCTGCCTCTGGCACCCCTAAAACTCATGTACTTCTCACATATAAAGTACTTTCATTTTAACCCAATAGTTCCCAGTCTTAGCTCATTCTAACATAATCTTAAAAGTCTATGGTCTAGATTCTCATCTAAATATCATCAAAATCAGATATATGTAAGACTCAGATTATGATTCATTCTGAGGAAGGTTTTCTCCAGCTGTGAAATCAAATTATATGTTTCTTAAATATATGGTGGAACAAGCATAGGATAGACAATTCCCTAACAAAAAAACAGGAACAGAAAATAAAAAGAATTAACAGGTTCAACTGAATCCAAATTCCTACCCCAAAAATAATATTAAATCTTGAGGTTTGAGAATTTTCTGTTTTGGCTCCTACTCCCACCATCATCACAGATTGGGGCAGGGTTTGGGCCCCCATGACTTTTCTGGGAGCAAGCGATGTCACAGCTCTCATAGGCTGGAATATTATGGCCAAAGCTCACTGAAGCTGGGTTTCAAACTATTACTGGGAAATGCAGGAATTTTTTATTTTTAGTTTTAATTGGAGGAAGAATTTGGCCAAGCGATTGATTTAGCCAAAAAAGAGAATGTATTGAAGGAAAATAGAGAACAGATATTTTATTTTCTCTTTTCTACTTATATTTAGCATGCCTGTTTTAGCTAATCTCTGGAGTGTAAAATTTTTCAAACCTCCCTTTTCACAGAAGTTCTTCCCTCCTGCTTATATTTAGCTATTTGCCTAGCAACCCACCCCTAATGTTTCATTAGGATTATCCTGGTGGGTAATCTCTGTGGTAGCCTTGCCCCTTTGTCAATTCTCTCTGTGAGCCCTGAGGCTCCTTGATGGATCCTTTGAAATCTAGCTCTTACAATCAGCAATCGTGGAGAATTAGCACTCTATGGACACCATCAAAATTTATGCCCTGTACTTTCTGGAGTGGTGGACAGAGCCATATTTGAGCCTCTTTAGGCCATTTCTGAGATGGCTTGAAGGAACTGCTCAAGAATGCAGGAATCAGAGACTCAAGGAAGCCTGTGTGGTGAGCAACAAGGTCCCAAGGGCTCCCAAGACTCCTCTTTTGATCTAATTCTGTTCTCCAGGCATTGGCATTCTGGGCTTGTGATGGGAGAGGCAACAACAGTGATCTCCAGTATGTTTCTATGCTCATCCTCCTATTGTTTTGATGAATAGCAGCTGGCTTGCTTCTAGCCATGCTAATCCCCTTATCAAAATTTGGTCACACCATAGGTTTTCCTCTTCTGAATATGCCTTTTCTTTCTTTAAAACATAGCCAGACTAAGAATATTCCAATTTTTATTTTCTGCTTCATTTTCAATATACATTTCATATCTAAGATTTTTCCTTTTCTCAAGTTTTACTATTGACAGTTTAAAAAGGCATGCAGTACCCTCAGCAATTTGCTATTTAGATATTTCTTCCACCAAATATTGTAACTTGTGGTTCTTAAATTCTGCCTTTCATACAATGATGGGACACAGAGACAATTCAGCCATGTTTGTTGTCACTCAGTAAAAAGAATAAACCTCATGTCATTGTGCAATACCATGCTCTGCATTTCCATCTGGAATCTCATCAGAATTACCTCGACCATCAATATTGCTGTTATTTTCTTCAAAACCACTTAAGTAATCTCACTGATTGAGGGAAGAGACCCCTCTTTCCTGTATCTTGTCTCAGAGGAGGAGTAAGTAAAAGTTGAGACATAGCAGGCATGAGGTCAGTGGTAGGGTTGGCT